TTGCTGATGTATCTAATTCTGCTTCTTCTGCCTCAAACTTCATTTTGTGTGTATGTGGAAAAGGAGAGAGAAGAGAGAAGAGGGAAGAGAGACCCAATGCTGCAAACCCTGAAAAGGTTCTTTGGAAAATCTAAAAGGCACTGCAAACTGTTTCCACAGGCAGATTCTGCTCACCACAGGGGAGCTCCCCTCAATCAAGGTCCCTGCCAGGTCCTCAGCCACTGTGTAGTCTTGTGGACATTCTGCATTTACACACTATTTATCTGTAATCATGATTTAAAAAAAAAAACAAAACAAAAAACCCCCAACTCAAAACAATGCCCCTCCCCCAAGACCTCAAATGTCTCTACTCCTGTGTCCTTGTCAAGAATCCAGCGTGTTCTTGTGACCTGGCAGAGGCCTGGCTGCCTCCTGGGGTCAATGCAGGTGAGCTAACCCAGGGAAGGCTATGCAAAGGCGCTGCCTCTGCTTGGAGCCACACACACAACACGGAAGCCCTCACCACTTCCTAAATAGTTATTTATTTTAGGGAGCACTCTCATCTCCAGCTCTAGGCCAACCTAGTCCCAAGAGGTACTTTGGTTATCATTTCTCTAAAGATGGGTCAGGATGAACTAGCTGTCTCCAAACCAGATCCAGCCCAGGCCAAAAGCCTTGGACTCAAACAGCCTTTAGAGACAGGAAGAGAAGTTGGAAAGGGGAGGAAGGATGGCTGGGCATGCATCTTTCCAGCCAGCAGCTCTGTATTTCCAAAGGAAGGCAATTCTCACTCGGAGAATGATCACATTCAGCTCTCGGGGATACGCACAGAGTGAAGAGCGCAGATTAAGTTTCTGATACTCTCCTTTGTTCTCCACGAATCTATAGCAAAGCCCCAGAGCCTGGTTTGTCACCCTGTTACATCATCTACTCTTTTCTCTGCTCTTCCTAAGCTCCAACCCTTTCCCTGTAAGGAGGCCCCACATGGCCCTCTCCACCCATGGGAAGTCCCATGTTGTCCTCTCAGCGTGGATGACTTCTGGTACTTTCCCTCTGTGTCCAGACAAGTATGGATTTTGTTGCTATTTTCTGGAAGCTTCTATGCCCGAAGCTGGCTGGCTACCATTCCAACCTGACCCCATAGTATTCATGATCTCCCTCAGGTAGATTTCCTTAGTGGTAGGCTTCTGGAGGGGGGACACTGTGTTTGGTTTCATCTCTGTATTGCTTGGCCATCGGCTCAGGGCCTGGAGCCTACTAGGTGTGCAAATAATCTGGCAAATGCACATTAGGACTGGAAAGGAGAGAGCTGAACTATACCACACCTAGGACAACTGACAGGCACTCTGACTCGACACACTGATAACCGTGTGTCCCAGTGGAGTTGCGGCAATGGCACAGCCAAGGCCACATGGATGGATGGGAATGTGTGAGCAATGCTATTGCTGGGCCTGGCATGTGTCTTCAGTTCCACTGTGGGCTGAGAAAGGACATGAGTCAAAGAACCCACCCAGAGGCCCAGGGGAGCCCGACACATGCAGACACCAGGCACAGAAGGGCACAGGGCAAGAAGACCGTGCACACACACCTTGGCACTCCCACTGGAGCTGACTCAAATTTACACAAAAGCAGATGCTAGGTTTTCTGGTTTAAGCATTCTTACAGTTGTATGGATATTCCCCTAGGCATTATTGTTGTGATTGCAGAAGGTCACAAGACAGTTTCTCCATCCCCCAGCTTGTCTATGATTAAGCATTTATGTTTATCCATCTATGTTTGTGTATGTGTTAAAAGAATAGATCCACATTTAAAGTCCTAATAAGGCAACTGCCTGGGTCTGAGCCAGCAAAGCAGACAGTCATTTTTATGAATTTACATCTTTCCTTGGATGGAAAAATATGGCTTGGAATCTCCTGCAAAACTTCCCTTTGCTCACTTGCCTGTCAAAGGGGAAGGGGCCTGAATGTCTGGACTGAAATGTCAAGCAAGGGACTGCCTTTTTTTTTCTTTTAAAAGAAAAAAGTGGCCCAATGGTCTAATTTTCAACCCTGGAGAGCTGAAGGCAGGTCTCGCTAAGTTTCTGCTGTTCTTTTTATTTTAGATCTTATTCAGTCAAATCCAAGGGCTTGATCTAAAAATAATCCTTGGGAAGAGACGAAGAATGGATTCAGGGCAAGGAGACAATGTCATACAGGAGACTTCAGCCTAGTGGGACCTTCCTGACTTAGGAATTTCTCTAGCTTCCAAGATCTAAGAGTCATTCCCACACTACCCTGAAGGAATCTAGAAGTTGCTAGGTTAGAAGCAATCAGGATCCCGGGGACCTACTTCCCAAGGAACTTGGGCAAGAAATTCTTTGGGATCTTGCTATTGTGAGTCCAGGAGGGCAGCTGTCGGTCCCCCTCAGGTAGCACCTTCACCAGCTGCTGCGGAGATGACTCATCTTTTACCCTACGTATTTTACAGAGCAAGGAGATGCAGTTCCTGGGCTGGCCTGACCTTGGACCAGAGTGACTCTCTCTAGGTCACCACTGAGAGTCACCTCTAGGTGTGGCACTTACATGAGCCTGGAAAATACAGACCCCCCTAACCTGGCAATCAGAAAGAGAAACATCCAAGTGTTTCTTGGCCACTAGAAAGGATCTCCACGTAAGTCAGTGGTCCAGGCATTGCCTTTCCTCCTCAGCCCCTCTCAGATCTCTCTGCAAAGGTGACAAAGGACAAGCCTCTGAAGAAACAAGCCTAGGAAAACCAGGGAAGAGCACCCAAAATGTGGTGCAGGTTGCATCTTTTCTCAGAAGCTGAAAAGATGTGTCTAAATCCCCCCAAGCCTTTCCCTTCTGGGCCCCAAAGCTTTTCTGTCATAAGAGGCCTCTCAGGGTTTGTGTGACGCTTGCAGGATTAGCGAATGCCAAGAAAGACTCCCCATGAGGAAAGCAAGCTGGTCAGGAGACAAAGACAGACTCTAGAAGCTGAATGCCCTAAAAGGCTATTTTTTTCCCTTCACAGTGTTGCAAGGTGTGTAGTAATAATAGTAATTATATACTTGAATGACATTTTTCCTTCTTTTAACATGACCATCATGGACAGATGACTTCAACATGTAGGACACACTACTTAGAACATGGGTGTGTGTGTGTGTGTGTGTTTGTGTGTGTGTGGTAAATGGTCTGTTTTGAAGAATACATGAGCTAAAGAAAGAATACTGAGGGCAGCATCTGGCACGGAGTGAGCACAAATAATGACAATCAGTTCCCTTTCCTATTCCCACTCAAGATGAAATCAGCTCTCAGATATGACCGAGGAGCTTCTGAAAACCATGGCGACACTAATGGGCGCCAGGGTTTATCACAAGAGACATGCATTCTCCCACAGATTTGTGATACTTTTTTTTTTTCCTGGAGACACGACAATAGAAAAGGTGACTGTGGAAATCCAAGGCGTCTTCCCCATTAGAGGAAGGCACCTGTTTGTCTGCAAAAGTGATCCACAGACCTTATTCAAGGAATTCCAACCCCAGAGCAATGGCAGAGGGCTCACCCAGCTTTGAAGAGGCACACTGGGGTCTGCCAATCCACCCATGACATCCTGAAGGCCCTCTTCCAACCATCTTTTCATTATGCCTTTAAAACACATATTCCCTACCCACTGACCACGTCTTGTTCTTCTACTGAAGTTTTAAGCCACGTAACAAAGAGATCAACTTCTAAAAAGGGGTAATGATTCACAGCTCAGAGACAGCTTTCTGGTGGAAAAAGCAAGGAAGTCAGAGCTTGTGTAAAATTACAGAGAGCAATGTGATGCCGCCCCCATCTCTTGCTTTTGAGAGAAGCCTATGGGAGAGGATTTCGGTATCCATTGTTATAGCTTTCATAATGAAAATATCTGGAATTTAAAGTCTAGACTCTGTATTTTCCAGGATTCAGAAAGTGATATTTCCTCTTACTGCAAAACAAGCATGTTTAATGAAGTGTCTTTTCTTGGGACCAGCAGAGATAGAGCAACTTCTAAATTCTCACCCAGCATCTAAACAGGACTTATCACTCTGCCAACCTGCACTGTAGGTGAGTGAGGTAATACTCAGGAGAGGTATACTCTGCTTTAGCAGGGCTATAGGACCACTCCTGCTGGAACAGAAGAAGATAGTGATGAGGGTGGGCGGAGGACGAAGTTGTAACTCAGTGTCCGAGGCCATTCACCTGGGAGCGAGGGGTGAGGCTTACCATCCCGGGCTGCCATCTCTCCAGCACGGCCACTTAATGCTTGGGTAAACCCATGGCACAGAGAACCTTTATGCCTCACAGTGGAGGAACAGCCAGGCGCCAGGGGGCTGGGAACTAAGGCTATTCCTGGGCCATGCGTTTCTTACTTGAGTCACCCTGGGCCCAGCAGACAGGAGAGCCCGGCCACTGTGTGGCTCTTTCTGGGGGCTGACCTACTTTCCTCATTTCTGGACTTTGTCCCTTCTTTGTTCCTAAATAGACCATAATGTCACTCTATGCTCCCACTTAAGCCTGAGGCTAGGAGGTCTCGTGGAGGTAAAAGCGTCTTTTGAGTCTGTCTGCCAGCAAGAAACACGTATTCAATTATGAGAGCGGTACTCTGTGATCCTGAATCTCTGCCAAGCCAAAGAAAGCTGTGCACACACACGGCTGAGCCTTTACAACCCTACGGCTTGGAGGACACGAGGCGTGTGTGGCCCAGCTGCAAATCTCGTCAGCAGACCCGCTCCACCCCTGGCCACTAGAACAACTGCCCGAGCACACAGCCCCTCCAAAAGCTCTTCACAACAGCTTCCTGTCCGTTTTCAACACTTTTCCTCCTGCGTCCACCAGGCCAATTCCTTCCCTTCCTCCCCTCCTTCCATCTCCCATGTCCTACAGACATGACAACTAACAAGATGTACCAGCAGATATCCTGGGTAATTCTTCCCTTTATGTCCTGATGGGGGGCGGGTGCGAGTGGATATTTTCAACGGAGATCCTTCCAGAAGGTATAGAAAAATAAAGTACAAACACAAATCACTTGACAATTTTATGATTCAAACCAACAAATGGAAAACAGACAGTTTGGAGTGTTGCTAACATAGTCAAGCCATTTCATGCCAACCCGCTCAACCATCCCCTTTCTTGGACCTATTTCTAGAGGTACCAAATGTGTCTGAAGATGAAATCACTTCTGTACAGCGAGGAGGCATCCAGCGTGAAACACGGGAGACACAACTGTGAAAACCGCGGCTTCCTGAACAGCACTTAGGGTTTTATTAACACTCGAAAGTCAGGTTCCCAAGAGACATGGGTAACATCCAAAAATGCTAAACGTGACTGAGGCAAAGGACACGGGTGTTTCATCTCCGGGTCGAGGGTGTTGACTTTCTGGGAAGACACTGTCTTAGACACCGAGCAGAGGAGTCACGTGGAAGACGCTAACACTCGTCTCGTTCTTGCGCAGTAAGAACATGAGAATCCGGAAAAGGCCGTCCACAGAACAGCGAACAAAGTCTCCAGTGAACAAGCTGAGGTGGGGTTTAGCAGTTCATTTACAGTTGAGGAAAACTATTTTCGTCCTTTGGCCAAAACCATACAAAGGGAGGGAACTTAAAACCCTAGACTACTGGACTCTCCCTGCATTTTTCTGCTTGAAGCTGGATAAAAAAGCCTTAGCTTCTGGCTGCAACTCTATTTATGTAACAACCACAGCTGCTCCCCAAAATAGCCGCTGCTGGCTGCAAGAATTACGGGATTTTGTTGCTTACACTCGAGTCTTACACTCGGCTGCATTTTCTCTCCCTCACTTTTGTTGCCCTGGGTCTAACAGGAGATCTTGACATTTTGTGGACAGATTTAAAAGTCAAGGCTCATTTTGGCAAGAACCAATTTAGCTCCCTAGTCTATTCTGTGGCGGACACCTTTTGACAGCTGGGAACATTTCAACTGTCCCTCTGGTAACTATTCCACCTTCCAAAGGTGGCAGTGTGGCTGAGAGTGAGGCCCTCACAACCCTCAAAGTGAAAAACACAGTACTCCTGTGTGTGTGTGTGTGTGTGTGTGCGTGTGCGTGCAGGATAAACCCAACCCTGGACTGCTGGCATGTTGGCACGGCATTGAATAGGGTGCCCTCCCCTGAAAGTAACAAAGAGAACCCTCATCAAAGCTATCAAACATGATAAAAAAATACAAAAGTTATTTTCTCCTTTTGATTGCTATTTACTTGTGACAATATTTGTTAAAAATATTACTTCTGTCTTTGAGAAGAGACCATTCTCTTCATATAGTATGGAAAAATAAACTCTACTGAACACGCAGTCAACACTCCCCACCACCAAGGACTTTCGGCTTCCACATCTCCAAATGGCATTACCGAGTGACTGTCCTGTTTTCTTGTAGGCGGACACCTTTCACCCACACTACTGGTGCTGGAAACACAATGGAAGGACGTGGCAAGGCTCACATAGCATTTTGAAGGCGGAGACTTAGAAAACAGTGAGCTTTAATACCTAATAAAACCAAAAGTCACAGTGGTTCCAGCCCTCCTAAGAAGTCACAGGGTTGTCCCCTCATCTCTTCTGACCACTCATAGCCCTTCCAGACCAGGGTAGATATCAACAGAAGGTGGGGAGCGTTTAGGCCACCCATCAGTGTCACTATGAGGGAACACTTAACTTCCACACTTAGGATCATCTTAAAATGCTGGACTGGATGAATGGGAGAAGACAAGGATACATAAAAACAGTAAAATGTTTATTTCTTAGAAAAAAAAAACGTGAGGAGGAGGAGGGATTCAAAATGATTGTGGTCACACTTCCATTTGCATCTGAGCAAAGCCAACGCTACAAGCTTGTTCCTGCACTAAGAGTCCTGGTAAGTGGCTTGGCCTGCTGCTCACTCTGGTGTCACTTCCAGGAGTCAAGTCACAGCATGCGCTTAACCAATTGTGGCTCTTCAACTTTTGAGCAGTGAAACAAGGCTCACCATGGCCACCATCCCATCTCCAAAGACCCACATTAACCAGTGAGAAGCAAAGCTCAGGCCATCTCTGGACCACTTGGAAGAGATGGATAAGGAGGAAAGGGGGGAAGAGAAGCTTGACTTCAAAGCAGAACCAGGCTAGAACTGAAGTCTGTACCAGAGTTCATCACTACATCCTATAGAAAATAGGCCGGAGAGCATCAGAAAACCAATAGTATCTTTAAGGTGAACTGCAGAGCTGTGCTGCATACTTGGACACGAGAGAAGTGAAAAGTTGCAACAAGTTTTAACTAGCAGCAACAAAGAAAGTTCCAGAACAGTTTTTTAGCTTTTTTTTTTTTGGATGTGTATGTTTGTGTTTAGCAATATTCCTTTGCAGGTTCATTAAGAAACACTGTAATTTAATGGGGCATACGATATGGAACGGTCTTCGTTGGCTAGAGTGCTGTTCAGTGAAGAGAACCGACCTTTGCAAAGGTTTCAACTGGGGTGGAACCTATTTACACAGTAGTAGCTCCTGGTCCGAGTGGGCGAGCCGATGCTATGTGACATCTTCTTCTTCAGAACAGTAATCCCGACCCTGGCAGGAGAAAAGAAAAAGGACACGTGAATCAAAGACTTCAACCAGGGCCTGAAACAGTGACTGCTGGACCGTTTTCGTCCAGCTTCAGTCGGCTTTGTAACGGAATCCCGTCTTCATGGGTGGTTTGACCTCTGGGTGCAGAACGATAACGATGCACCACAAACCCGCGCTCGCTGACTTTTAAGGTCTGCTTATCTCAAGGCGTGATACACCAAGCCCAGAATAAGCTCTTTTAAAATGCTGGCCAGGATTTATGTCAACTTACATGACAGGTGCACAAGAAACGTGGCTTACACGAAGAAGTTAAGGAGAGGAAGCAGCTAGGAGTCAGAAGACTCAACAGTCACTTTTCGCTGCTCACATTCTACAGCTCCAGCCCCACTCTTAGTACTTAAAAATGCCAGAGGAGAAGGAAGTGTAATCAAAGGATGCCCAAGTTTTAATTCACTCTAAGACGGTTTAAGGGAACAGCAAACACGGATTTTTGTGGACATGTGTGACAGATCTGGGGCTGCACCTGGTCCTCATGAATGACTCCAAGGACAAGAGGCTTTTGATGTGCCCGCCAGCAAGCAGGTTCTGGCAGGCTTATGGACAGTGGGGAACGGCTGCTTCTGAGCATCTTTTATCCCTCGCGCTACTGAGACACAGCTGGGACCAGGATTGAGGCTCCGTAACTGACCTGGCTGGGTGGCCTTGATCAACGTACGTAGCTCTTAGAGGGCAAGTCTCCAGAGAGGCACAGGACAGAAACGCTTTCCTTCCTTGTCCCAATGTCACAGGTCAGGCTCTTGTGAAGGCCAAGCTGGATTATTTTGTTTGTGCCCTTCACTGATTTTTCTTTTCAAATACAAACTAGATGCTCTGCATTTGGGGACAAGTGCTCCTTTAAAAACAGAAATTTTGGCCCTATGACAGGAACTTTCAACAATTTAACCACAAGTCGTGAATGACAACGGATGCTCCCATAGTTTATCTTACTGAGATAAGCAAGCCATTTATCCCACACTGTTTTATTTTATTTTATTTTTTTTGGTTAACTGTTTTATGGTACATATATTTCAGGCAAGTTCAACTTAGAAATCTCATTTTTGTAGTTGATATGCATTAAGTATTGGTAGCAAACAATTCTTTGTTTACTGTGTATATACTCCTTTGAGTATTTTTACTATTTTAAGTCATATTATATTAAAAATACAGTGTTTTTGGTTATTGAAGGTACTTTTCTAATCCCTTAGCCCATCGCTACTTCCAGTATATTCAGTAAACTTGTTTTCTTTCAAACAAACCCAGAATTTTCTAAGTCAGTGCAATGCTTTCTTTTGTTTGTCTATTTTTTTTTGTTCATTTTTCAAGAAAAGGTTTCTCTGTGTAGCTTTGGAGCCTGTCCTGGAACTCGCTCTGTAGACCAGGCTGGCCTCGAACTCACAGAGGTCTGCCTGCCTCTGTCTCCTGAGTGCTGGGATTAAAGGCATGTACCACCACAGCCTGGCTGGAATGCATTGTTAAAAGCACCAATGCTTACATTTTTTTTAATGCAGCCTTTCCTCTGATATATAACACGCTTGCATATTTCTCTGTTATATTATATATCTGCACATTGGGAATATTTCACATTTCCCTAATGCTTAGGTGTCACTATAACGAATTATTACACACATCTGGATGCTAATCCCAGCTGTATTTCTTACTAATTTTGGTACCTTGTTCAAGTTACCTCTTTGAGTCTCAGTTTTCTTATGGGTGAAATAAAAGCAATGACAGTTAACTGGCATGACTGCTCACAGTTAGTATTAATAGTGTCTAAACGGCAACTGGTAAATGAATTTATTCATGGTGTGCACATACATGTATCCAAGTGTGTTCCACATACAAACACAAAACAAACAAGCAAACACACACACACATGCACTGTCATGCAATGAAGCCCTGGGATCTGCAGAAGGAAGAATGGTCACCCAATCCTTGCCAAACAGCCCCAGACTGCTTGTTCTGTCAGAATGAGTTACTTGCTAGCCTGATTCAGTTTCTTCCACCATCAGAGCACAGCCCAGTGTGCCCTGCAGAATGGAAGTCCAATGTCCACTGAGGTTTGATTCCCTGGTGGCATCAAACCTCTAGTGGACAGAGAAAATGGGTAACCAGTGCTCCCGGGAAGAGCATGCAAGTAGTAGTCACCCCCATGACAGCCTTCACGGTGACACGGCTCAGGATGACACCATCTCTAGCTTTGATCTGGACCAGGCAAGAGTCACTCTCTCAGACATCAGTTGGGGAGTTATAAAGGAGATTCCCCGCCCCCACCCCTACAAGGTTCTTGACCATTGGGAGTTTATTTTCTAGCATGGGAAACAGGATACAGCATCTAGCATCACGAGGCTACAAGCATCAAGTGATGCTCTCTGTGTGGCTTTAACTTGGGAGGCTCAGACTGGACTTGCAGATGGATGCTGGGTAAGCAGCTGGGCAGGATAGGCTGGGGTCTGAGTTTTCATGGAGATTTTATTAGCATAGCAAAGTGTGCCTGGGTAGAACGACAGGCTTTGGTTTCTTGGGCATAGTCACTTTCTCTGTCCAGTAGGGCTGTGATCAGGGTTATGTGCAGAAGAAGATCCATTCTGTCAGATAGTCAATAAATGCTAGCTGCTGCCACTTCTGTTGCCATTGTCATCATAAACATTGGCTTGTTCAGGCTCCTGGCAGGAATGAAAAGCCTCATTTGTGAGTGAGGACAGGGGTCATAAGGCGAGATCTGACAGGAGCCAGAGAGCATCCCTCTGTCCTTAGCAGTGTGTCCCAGGCAGATCTGAATCCCAGTCGGGTACATGAAGACAAGTTCTATGGCTAAAACTAAAGTCCCTTCCCATCTGACGTCAAAGTAAAGCCTCACATGTAAGGAAGCAAACACACACACACACACACACACACACACACACACACACACACCAGCTACAAGATTATAAGACTAAAGGATCCAGGGCTAGAGAGGTGGCTCAGCAATTAAGAGCATTTATTGATTTTGTAGAGGACCTGAGTTCAATTCCCTGCATTCACATGGCAGTTCACAACTACCTGTAACTTCAGCTCTAGGGGATCTGACATTCTTCTGGCCTCCCAAAGCAGTACAGGCACACGCACGCACATGCACGCACATGCACGCGCGCGCACGCGCACACACACTAAATAGACATACATTAAAAACAAAACAATAAAGCCTGCAGGACCGTTTCCGAGGCTGCAGGTTTACTACCAGCACACAAAGACCCTCCATCACACCGCTTGACAAAGCTGAATAAACCCTCCGTCTAAGCCAGACCCCAAAACTTTCATTTCCCAAGAATTTGTTCCCCTAAATTTTTCTAGTTAGCACGAGAGGAGGAAAAACCCACACCAGCTGCTGTGCAGACATCATTTCATTTATTATTCATATCAGCCCTGCCGGATAGGAGTGGAGCAAACCTCAGCGAAGCCCAAGATCCCCGAGCTAATCTCCACCTCTCCTGGGCCCTCTTCTCCTCTGCTTCATTTTTCTTATCACCTGACAGCAGCTCAAAGGACAAAACACTTTGGGAACAAAGATTTCTGAGATCAGAACATACCACAGCTAAGAGGTGTCACATGGCATCCAGTCCAAAGCGACCCAGAATCCTGCTGGGAGGGATCCAACCCCAAGACCCCCTGAGAGCCCGTACTGGCACACTGTCCTACTGGACATGCCAGGGAACCAGTTTCTGCTGAATAGGACTTATGTCTCATTTCAATTGTTAAAGAACTTTTAAAAACAGAATCACCAAACTTTCAGCTGTCAGGGAGGCAGGGGTAACTGGGTACAGATTCAATGACAGGAAAAGCTGGGTCTGGCAGCACAGACCTGTCACTTTTGGTTGGCATTAGGGAGGCTGAGGCAGGAGGTTTACAAGACCAGCCTGGGCATGTTAACAAAATCCTGCACCCAAACAAACAGCAACAAAGAGGAGGTACAGCTTAGCAATAACGCGTCTACCTAGCATGTGCACCCAAAAACAAAACAAATGGCAAAAAGGTAGAACAGTACAGCCACGTCCTGCCTTCCTGTCGCCCCCAGAGCAGATATGCTCTTAGCCTCTGGACCCTGGGGATGTCTCTGCCATCCGATGGCAACCTTCGCTCCATTTCCTGAGTCTAACCTGCTTCTATATATCTCGAGTCTCCTTTGATTCCAAATCAATTTCCTCATCTTCCTCTTTCTCTTCTTCCTTCCTCCTCCTCTTCCCTCCCTTCCTCTTCTCTTCTTCTCCTCACCCCCTTTTAAAGACACGTCCAACACAAGCTAACGCCAAGAACCCCAGAGCCCAAATACAGCATGTCACATCCCATAAATACAGCTTAAGCTGCATGGAAATTACGTAACTGATAGTGTATTAAATCTTAAAAATTTATCAGAGCATAACATTGAACTTTTGTTAATTTGAGGACATGTTAAACAGTTAGATATCTATTGTGTTTGTGTGTGTGCATGTGTATCTATGTATGTGTGTGTATTTAAACATGTTAAAAACAAACTTTTCAGTGTAGGAGTTAAAACATAAAGAAAAATACACAAGCAACTTCAAGCAGAGGAGATAGCTCAGTTTGTAAAGCTCCCGTCTTGAAAGCAGGAGGACATAGATTCAACCCCCAGAATCCATGTAAAAGCTAGGGCTGCAGACATGGCTCAGAGGCTAATGTTCTTGCTGCATAAAAGCGAGGACTGGAGTTTGGATCCAGAATTCATGTTAGAAGCTGGGAAGGAATGATGAGCACCTGTGACCCCAGCATTCAGGAGACAGGCATGGGGCCTCTGAAGCAAGCATGTTGGCCAGATTAGCCAACTTGGCAAGCTCCAGATTCAGAGACACTCTGTCTCAATAAACAAAGAAGAAAATGACCAAGAAAGACAATGAAGTCAGCCTCAAGCCTCCACATGTGTCTGCACAAACGTGACCTGCCCCATGCACGCGCAGCTGGGCATGGTGGGG